ACCTTGGGAGATCCCCCTTGTCGTGCATATTTACTTTTGGGACTATGAGGCGGTACCTCGGGGGATTCCCCCTATTAAGCATTTACATTTGGGTTACGAGGCGATACCTCAAAAGCGCACCTGCTGTTTACCTCTATTTGTTGTGCTGTTATTTTCTGAAACTTCTCGTTGTTTAAATTCTCAGTCATTTCAAAATACTATTATTTCTTCTACCTTGCTTATCTTTTTAACCAGTAGGACATTGACCTGACCTCGTCACTACTCTACCGAGGTTAGGCTTGGCACTTACTGGGTACCGTTCTGGTGTACTCCTACTACACTTCTTCACATCTTTTTGTACATATCCAAGTTCTTCCTACCATACCAGATACTAGTAAGATGGACCGTACATGGAGACTTCAAGGCATATCTGCCAGCGTCCGCAAATCTCGAAGTCCCCCTCTATCCTTATTCTGTTGTTTCCCTTATTCTCCTTAGACTTTGATGTATATAGACACTTAGTATTTTCTCTTAGAAGCTTGTGACTTATTTCTACCGGATTTTGGGAGTTGTAATTATTTAAAACGCAGTTTCTATTTATATATCGTGTGTTGAGATTTGAGTTCATATTATTATTCAGTTATTCCGCAAATTATTAGGCTTACCGGAGACTAGGTTCCATCACGACATCCTACGGAGGGAAAATTGGGGTCGTGACAATGGCATTGTACTAAAATATTCAACAATAAAGATAATAAAATCACATAACATAAGTATTATTAATAAGCCATAATGAAAACAAACATAATTTAAAATTGCTAATAAATTGCTCAAATAAGTACGACTAATAAGTACTATTATGTACATGACTAAACACTAAAAGAAAAATAAGTTATGCATTTTATCTAAACCACGAAAAAACTAAAAAATAGATATCCAACACTATTTTCATTTATAATATAATTGAATTGAATGTCTTTTATTAGCATTAGTATAGATTTGATATTTGTTTAGGATTTATTTGAATTACTAATATTTATAAACTATAAAACTTATTGGAGCATCTAAAAATTATAAGTTCAAGTTTGAAATAATACGTTAAAAGATAAAAGTATGAAAAAGCTTAAGAAATATTTATAAACTACACTACAATAAATATTTTTATGTATTAAATATATTTAAAACTTTTATACATATAATGTCGGGTTAGTTTGCTTTCGATTTGACTTTTTTAGTTAAAACCAAACCAAACCAAATCAAATATGGCCGTGACCCATGTTTGGCAAAATTAATTAAATTTGGTTATTTGTAGTTGGCCTAAAGTATGTTGTCATCAGAATTTAGTGACATCATTGCCCTGCCTTCTTCAACTACCATGATTGACCAACGAAGGTTATGGTGGAGTGATATATTTTATTCTTAACCAGAGGTCTCGGTCTTGGACCATGAATATAGTATCGCCTTCGTTAGGAAGCGCTTTACTCCCCAACATGACACAAATTTGGATTTAGTCGAACCTCAATACTAATACAGAACACCGGATGAAAAGCTAAAAAAATAAATCAATGCAGGTTTTTAAGTTAGAAAATTTGATATGGAAAATAAAGAGAAAAACAACAAGTATAAAAAACTATATCAGCAGTTGAAGATTTGATCCAATTTTGATAGTGGAATAGGTCCATTATTGAGCTCAAGTTTTAGGGCCGAACATTGGAGATCAAGTCCACATTCCTTGAAGACAAATCATTTTTAAAAATACTTATGGGATTTAAGTTATTTACACTAACAATCTAAATATGTGATAGCATATTATTTATTATTTTAATCAGGTTATTGATTAAAACTTATCATAAGATTTTACTTGTAATTACTATCATGTAAATATATTTTATATAGGCATTGTATATAACTTAAATATTTGCTTGAGTATTATACTATATATCAAGAAAAAACATTATAATTATTAATTTGAGTGAAATTTGAGGGTGTAAGCACACTGGTTTTTATGCATATTTCAACTTGCTTATTCTTAAAAAAAAGTATATAGAACTACTTATTCCTGATCATGGAATTGGAAACCAAAGATAGATGGTTGATTTGACAGAAATGTATATTTTTAGCCGCTTTCAAAAATAATAGTCTATAAAATATATATTGTTTTGTATATATACGTATTATATACATATAATATACATATTTTATATATTTGTTTGCTAGAGAATGTAATTAGTTTCGACCGACCGACTAATTTTATATGTTGTCCATACATGAAAAAATAGGCCTCGTACCAATTATAAGCGAAGTATTATCACTTTTAGCCCGTACATGAAACTATTTACATATGGTAGCCAAAAAGTGTATAAAATTTGTATATAATATACAAAATGTATATATATACAAAAAAATATAAATTTTACACATTTTCGGTTATTATTTTTACAGCGGTTATACAATGTCATTTTTCCATTATAAGCAGCTGGGGGCTGGTTCAATTGTTTGGAAGCCCAAATGACACTTCCCTTAAAACTGTGGACGGACATACTTCAACCTAGGGGTGTACATGGACCGGGTTAGTTCAGTTTTTATCAAAACCAAACCAAACCAATTATATTGGTTTGAATTGGTTCGGTTTTGTCGGGTCTTTTGGATTTTTGTTACTTAAATATTATTTCAATCTTACTTTGTTAAATTTTTGATAAGTAAATATATGTTTAGTTAAAATTTAAAAAATTGACAAATATATTATCAATTAAAATATTATTATGGGAGAATTTACTTAGTAACATATGATAATTATCTTTTTAGTCTTCTGGCAATAAATTTTTTTTTGTTGATGTATACTTTTAGGGTTAATCGAATTTAGTAATTAAACATAAAAATCAATATGATACCTAAATAATATTAATCACTTCAAATTCGAAAAAGATATAAAAAATTAATAGATCTTGACATATGAATATGGAAGAACAAAGAGATTGACGTATNAACCAAATCAAACCAAACCTAGTCGGGTTTTTTAATCGGTTTGATTTGACTTTTCGGTTTGGTGTAATTTTCCGGTTCGGTTTGTACACCACTACTTCAACCTATTAGCTTTTGGTCCATTTTGCTTTAGATGTGGCAATTTTTTTTCTTAATTACCAAAATATGACAAGTTTGAATATTTATCTTACTAGATAAATCGTGTAAAAGGAACCCTTGTCAAAACAACTTAAACTCCAATTAGGCAGTCTTACCTAATGTTGGGAAGATTATAATTTGATACAACGAGTCAAAATAAATATATCTATAAGCACAAGGATGAAAGTAACTACAAATATATGTAATCTTAGTTTTACATATTGATCAAAATCCAAAATCAAGTATTTTGACACCTTTGGTTTTCACTTTATTAAGAGCCCGTTTGGACATAAGAATTTTTTTTTTTCAAAATTTTTTCACTTTTTTCCGAAATCAGCGTTTGTTCATAAAATTTTTAATTTTCAGTTGAAGATGCATTTTGAAATTTTTTGAAATTTTAAAAAATTCCAAAAGGCTGTTTTTCACTCAGATTACTCACAAAACTTCAAAAACAACCCAAAATTATATTCATGTCCAAACACAACTCTAATTTTCAAATACTATTTTCACTTAAAAAAAATTTTCACTTTTTTTTTTTGGAATTTTACAATTCTTATGTCTAAACGCCCACTAAAACTTGATGATCCTTTTATAAATGGGCCGATTAGGCCAGTTACAAATGGTTGGAAGAAGGTGAAGATTTTATCGGATGCAAAGAGTATTATTGATATGATCCGGAAAAAAATATCAATACCTCATGGGAGACAGAAGTGATTTGTAAAGACATTTGGAAGGTATAGACTGTGCTTGATCATGTCGACTTTGTTTATATTCCTAGAAGTCTAAACAAACTAGCACCTAACTTAAGCTAAGTTTTCTATTACTTTGTTAAAGGAAGTATCTTGGGGAAACTATTTTCCAAGTTGGATTATAAAGGATGCTATGGGTACCTTCGCTCAAATTATTTATTCGTTGCGTTAATATAATATCTACATTTGATGAAAAAAAAAGGAGAGATTAGGTCAGTTACAATCATTTGTAGGCTTGTAGCACTAAATTGACAATTGTCTTTGAAGGGAGTTAAATGCTAGTAGTAATGCAGTTTATTTGCACGACTAATAAAGGGGTTAATTTTTTCTCCCAAAGGGAAGGGGTGGGGAGGAGGAAACTACAATTCAATAAATATTGTATTTTTTGCTTCTATAAGAGTGTAAAGTAAAGGTTGCAAATGTGCGAGTTGAATAAAATTTAGGTTTGTCAAAACAGATAAGTATCATGATTCAGCTTGTCCAAAGTTTGTTTCGATCAAAATGAATTAATTAAGATATGTCAAATAAAGAGTCGATCGCAATCCATCTCGCGTATATAATTAGTTTAAGTTCTTAAAAACTTACGAAATTCTCAATCTCTAAATTAAATTTTATACATATTGTTAAACTTTAGATTGTGTTTTGATTGATTGAGTTACGCGGCTTAACTTATTAGGCTGGTCATTCAAAAATAATTATATCCGTTAGTTAAATATATAAAAAATATATATATTATATATTAATATACAAAAAATATATATTTTACTGGCTATTAATTATTTTTGGAAGCGACTATACTCCATAATTTTTTTTAACTTATTTTGTCCCCATGATTTGATGTTTTTATTTTGGGCTCAACTATTGATTCAAGTCAACAAACGAATCATAATCCAATTTGTTTAAACTTAAGTAGATTAAAAAAATTATTAAAAAATGAATTGATTTTGGCACCTAAAGTATAGCACGTAGACTAAATCCACACCTAGCTAGTGAGAAGTAAGAGGAAAGTGAGGACAGTTTCAGCAACTCAGTAACCGATTTTCTCTCTTTTATCACTTAAGACTCGGGACTTATTCACTCACAAACTTTACTTCTACTTACAACAAACTACACCAAATTCCTATTTCCTTCTTATTTCTAAGTATAGTTTTTACTGTATTTGTCTTAGTTTCATGCAACCAAAATGGCACTTTTGAATCTTGGTTCTAAATCCGAAGCCTTCTGTTGTGAAGGCCAGACTTGGTAATATTTATTATGGGGAGTTTTTTGCATTCTTGGTTATATCTAACATGTTTAGACTACTACTTGTTACGTTCCTCTTTTTTATACCAGTAATATTAGTATGTATTCTCATATTTTTTTATTCTTAGGATTCAATTACTATATATTGTTTCTTTCGTTTCGGTCATCTTATTGTCTTGCTCTTGTTACTACTTATTTTTCATGGCTTCTACACTATTGTTTTTCTTTTTCATTACCGGTGTGCTTATACATTACTTGAGCTGAGGGTCTATTGGAAACAGTCTCTTTACCTCCATACTGCAGGGGTAAGGTCTGCATACAGACTCTATTGTGTGGAATTATACTGGGTATGTTGTTGTTGCTTATATCTATCATGTTACTCTATCCATCCTTATTATTTGAAATCTTGTTTTTTCAGACAAGTTAGATAAAATGGCAGGTTCTTCTGTGTTTTCTTAACATTACCTTTTAAGTTTTAACAAGTAATTTATGAGAGAAGTATTCTTGTGTTAAAAATGAGCTTATATGCATATGTTGATTGTGGTTCACTCTTTTTATGTGAACATTTCCAGTGTTATATTCATGTTTCTTTTTTCTGTACATAATATTCTTATTTTTTGTTATTTTTAGTAGAGTTTAAATAATCGATCCAGTACTCCCAAGTGTATTAGTGTGTTAATCTGTGTAATATAAAATTCTAGCTTACTTTTGTATTAGCTGATTAGTGGTCCAAGATATACCATTAGATGTTTGATTTTACTTTCATATATTCTAGATAAAGAATGAAAAGAATGAAAATTTAGGGGCATTTTGGTTTTGATTATGTAACCTAATGTTGATCATATGGATATCTAATTAGTATCCAATAATTTGTCGAACGCCTTTTTTCAGTTGATTTATCTAACATCAACAGTGAATTTATGAAGCTTATGCATAAACTCTGTTCAGGCGTTGTAAATCAGGACTTCCAAGTGATATTACAATTGAAATTGGAGAAATGTCCTTTTATCTACACAAGGTACACTCTTTGATTGCTTATTCTCTTTAAGTTCAATTTTTTTGGGACTGAGGCGTAGTTGTTATTGTTGTTAGCATTTCTCGTAGTATCTTCTTTGCTAATGCACTTAACGCCATTCCGGAAATCGACATATACTTGTCTCAATTCTTCCCTTTTGTAATCTATGGTTAACTCAAGATGATATTCACAATCAAAATCTATGGTTTGTATTCTGTGTTTAATCTTAGCCTTCGATCTCTATTACTACCTGAGTTTCCCTTGTGTCGGTTTTCTTATTGCATTGTTATTTTGTTGTTGTTACTGTTCTTGCCTTCATTATTTTCAACTTGGCTTCTTCATTGCTGTTTTTCTTTTTCAAACCTGTTGTGAATCACTTTTCTTGAGCCGAGGGTATATCGGAAACAACCTCTCTACCTCCACAAAGTAGGGGTAAATTCTGCGCACAAATTACCTTCCCCAACCCCCAAATTGTAGGAATATATAGGTTATGTCATTGTTGTTGTTGTTGAAAACCAAAATCTAAAACAACTCACTTAATTGTGCTGCAGTTCCCTTTGCTCTCAAGAAGTGGACTTCTAGAAAAGCTTATGAGTGAATCGACCAAAGAGGATGGATTGGTATGCGTTCTGCAGCTTACTGATATACCTGGTGGAGCTAAAGCATTTGAGTTAGTAGCCAAATTTTGTTATGGTGTTAGATTTGAACTCACACCTCTAAATGTAGTGAGTCTTAGATGTGCATCTGAGTATTTGCAAATGACCAACGAATACGGTGAAGGAAATCTAGTTGCACAAACGGAGGCTTTTCTTAACGATGTTTTTGGGAATTGGACAGACACAATAAAAGCTTTAGAAACCTGTGAAGAAGTTTTACCACATGCTGAAGAGCTTCATATTGTGTCGAGATGCATAAACTCGTTGGCGATGAAAGCTTATGGCGATTCAAAGTTACTTAATTGGCCTGTAATGGAGAATAGTAACGATAATACTGCAGGTTCTGATGTATGGAATGGTATAAGTACTGGAACGAAGTCACAGCCAATGACTGATGATTGGTGGTACGAAGATGTGTCGTTCCTCAGCTTACCTCTCTACAAACGTTTAATTCAGGCTGTTGAAGCTGGAGGAATGAGGCCTGAAAATATATCAGGCGCCCTCGTGTTTTATGCAAAGAAATACATTCCTTTAATGAATAGGCAAGCGAGTTTCAAGGACGCTAGTCATGCTAAATCAGCATCCACGCCATCAGAGGCAGATCAGAGGGCGCTTCTTGAAGAGATCGTGGAGTTATTACCAAAACAGAAAGGAGTAACAGAGACTAGGTTTCTTCTGAGGTTGCTCCGTACTGCTATGATGTTGCAAGTTAGTCCGTCGTGCAGAGAAAATTTGGAGGGAAGAGTCGGGTTGCAATTAGATCAAGCTACACTTGATGATTTGCTAATACCAAATATTGGTTACTCGGTCGAGACTTTATATGATATCGACTGTTTTCAGCGTATTCTGGACCATTTCTTATTATTAGACCAGGCTTCTGCTGCTGCATCTCCATGTATAATGGAAGAAAATCAATTGGTGGAAGGTAATCAGTCTTTGGCTTCAATAACAAGGGTGGCCAATTTGGTGGATTCATACCTTTCTGAGGTGGCGCCTGATGTTAATTTCAAGTTTCCGAAATTTCAGTCTCTTGCTGCTGCAATCCCAGATTATGCTAGGCCACATGCTGATGGTATCTATCGTGCAATCGATATATATTTGAAGGTAACAAAGTAATTCTTTTAGTTTATGATGATACAGTCAAACCTCTCTATAACAATCTCGTTTCTTCCAGATTTTTTTGATTGTTATAGCGAAGTGATGTTATACAGAATATATATTTTAACATAGCATGGAAATTGGTTCCGAAGGGAACTTGGTTTTTATAGAGAATGATTGTTTATAGCGATGATGTTATAGATAGTGTGACTGTAGTTAATGATCTAAACATAAGCGAGAAACTTAACAAAATTAGTATGAGAGTTAAGTAGTGACCTACAACATTTTCAATTTCAGGCACATCCTTGGCTTACAGATATTGAAAGAGAGCAAATTTGCAGACTAATGAATTGCCAGAAGCTTTCGTTAGAGGCGAGCACACATGCTGCTCAAAACGAGAGACTACCTCTAAGGGTTATCGTTCAAGTCTTATTCTTTGAACAGCTTCGACTACGTACATCCATTTCAGGATGGTTTTTTGTGTCTGATAATCTTGACAACTCACAAAATCTAAGTGGAGGGATGGGACAACATGGTGACAACACTAGACAGGGAAGGGGATCAAGCATTGAGGACATGAGGGGACGTGTTTCGGAGCTTGAAAAGGAGTGTAACAACATGAAGGAAGAGTTTCAGAAGCTGGTAAAAACAAAGAGAAGGTGGAATATATTTTGCAGAAGAAAATCTCAGTGTAACTCGAAATCAGGAAAGCCAAGTGAAGCTGCAACATGTCCCACTTTTCCAAAAATTCACTAGTAAGTGTAGTGGAGTTGTTTTGTTACTATTTTGGCAATTCAAAAGGGTTTGAATTAGTTTTAGAGTCGTGTTTACACTTAACACAGGAAACAGGTCGTTTCGACATTTGCCAACATTTAGATTGTACAGTTTCTGGTGGGGTGAGGCTGAGGGGGGAGGGAAGTTAAGGTTTCTTATGTTTTCTTGAATATCAGAATTTGTTTGCAGAAATTATACAGTTTAACATATGAAACACATTGCTATATATTAATAAAATTGCACATCAGAAATGTTGAATGATCCAAGTACAATAGCTTGAAATGAGTCTTCACTGCCCAAGCCTGGTTGTCTCTATCTTCTTTAATCTTAAGTGAGGTGAAGAGCCTAACCTTTTCTAGATCTAAGGATTGACTGATTTTGTTGCTATTGGAAAACACCTGTATTTACATTTTCCAGGAATTAGCTGTTGTGAGTTACTATTACTCTATGAGATGGTAACAGGTAATCCATAAGTTGAATGGTAACTCAATGGATTTATAAGATACTATTTAAGTAGAAATAGTGTCCACTGGTCACTTTTTGGCCCATTGACATGAAACTCCATGGTAATGTTTGAAATTCCATGACACATTATTGCTCTTCAGGGATTTTTTACCGTGTTTATACCATATTTACTCTACCTTTATTTTAAATTGTTTATCAAACTCTACCGTATTGATATGATTTTGTGCTTGTTTAATTGTGCACCAAACTCTACCAGATTAGCGTGACTTTGTATTATCCGCATTTCATCTATTTGTTAAACATATCACAACTTTACCTAGTTGGCAATGATTTTGTATTTGTTCAATTTTTCATCAATCTCTATCAGACTAACATGACTTAGTGTAATATGCAATCGACCTATCTGTTAAATTATTTATCAAAATCTATCTAATAGTCACAATTTATCTGTGTTGTCCAACAAGTATTTTTCGAAAATGCAATTTAGTGCAGAACAGTATGACAAAATAGTAAAACTTTTAGCTATAAATATTATATTACTATATTGCATTTGATACTGAACTCTACCATGTCGCTAGATCTTAGTTGAAGCCTACACAAAGGAAAGGACACAGGGTCCATTTATTAAATGCCACCAATTAGCGAAAAAATTCAAAAATAGCCAGATTTACAAGTGGTAATTGAAAAATAGTCACAGTTTCAAAAGTAATCGAAATTTAGTCACTTTTCATGTAAAGATAAATCTGAATGAAAAAACTGTTCAAAATTCAAAAAATATTCCAGCATAATATACTGGAGTTCCAGTATAATATATCGATCCAGCATAATATGCTGGAAGTTCATACACAAGTGTACCAATCTCCAGTATATTATGCTGGAACTTTTCGCGCGTTGGAGTTCCAGCATAATATGTAGGAAGTTCATATACAAGTGCATCAATCTCCAGTATATTATGCTGGACCGATCTGTGTTGCAGCAAAATAGTGGCTATTTTTCAATGACTTTGCAAACGCTAGCTATTTTTTAATTATCAGTCCGAAAATTGGCTAGCCCGTACTATTTTTACCCAATTACGAGGATATTCCCCTAAGACGAGCCAATTGTTTTTTGGATGTCAACCTTGTATCTATCGAAGGGGCCCAATTTCTTAGTGGTCTCATTTTTAGGCCTTGTTGAATTGGGCTCTAGGATCCTCGCCACATTACTTCAACCAGGCTCACTATTTCTCCATTCCTCTCTAAAAATAAAGAAGAGGTAAAGACGTCAAATTTCAATCACTTAAAACTATGTACAGTGACCCCAGTTACAAAGATTTTTTTTTTAAAGAATGAATGAATTATCTGATATGAGACCCAAAATCAACAAATTTAACCATCACAAATAGGATTACTTTTTTTCTCTTCTTTTCTTTTTTATGAATGGGAGTAATAAATTTAGCCTCCAATATTATGAGAGATGCAACTTTTTTTAAAATTTGGAGCATACATTTTGTAGGTACTAGAAGCATACTGCTTCAAATTTATTTCCTTTCAAATCATTTTAAATGAATAAATCCCAAAAGATTTCAACAAAACATTATAGGCATTTTGATTATTTCAAAATCATAAAAAAAAAATAAAAAAATGTACAAAGCTAAATGGGGAACAGAAGTAATATGCCAGCTATAAAACTGTTCTCCCTTGAGGAATTATTATCATTGCTATGGCAGGCAAATATTATCCTCTCTTTTTTTTCTTTAATTTTTTAAATAATCTATGAGCTGACATTTTTCTTCCCACTAACAAAACAATCACCTACTCAAACGTCTCATCTTTGGCTTTCTACTATCCCTTTTGCAAAAATGAATTCAAGATTTAATTTTGACGCGTTCAACTATTAAGGTTTTAAGCGCTAAATTTATTATATTTTTGAAAGAATAAATTCAAAATTTAATTATTTGTTGAAATTTTAATAATTTTTCACGTAAATACCTGTGTATTTTGCGTCAAAATTAATAATATAAGTCACTAGTTCGAGCTGTGGAATCAGCCACTGAACACATCCTTTGAGATGCGATCATTTTCCGGATCCTGTGTGAATGCGGGATGAGACTGCGCTTCAATTCATTGCGAATAGGTTCCATCTGCCTTTGAAATAAAGTTGTGCTGCACCAAAAATAGCTGTTCAAACTCACCAACTTATCCAAAGTATAATTACAAATGATTGTGTTGCTCTGAATAATTTTATGTTTGCCTACAAAAAGATGAAAGTACCAATTTTTTCTGCTGTTTACGCTAATAATGTACTTAGCACCAATTAGGCTGTCTATTTCAGTTGTTAATGTATATATGATGTCTTGCTCTATTTTAACAAGTTGGCGAATTTGTATACTTTAGCCTTATAAATGAAAGTAACATCCACTTGTGGTTAGAGGGCACGTTTGTCAACTGTTGAGTACCATACAATGCAGAGTTATTATGCTTAATAATGTTGAGGTTTTTGAGACAAATTCAATGGTTCAAATTAATAGGGACACGTGTCACAGACTCACTTAAATAAAGGAAGAAATAAAAAATCCTCTCATTTCCCAACAGTTTACGCAAGATTTTGCATAAGCGATATCAGTCTATTATTACAACTCTGACTTGTATGAATTTATATTTGGGGTTGTGAAATTTTATTACTATATATTTTGTGGAGTGATTGCATGTAATTAAATCTATGTTCACGCAACTTTATACAATTTTTATTATGAAAATTTATGGCACCAAAAAGGCCAAGAAATAACACTCTCCATTAATATTGGAAAGTTTGGTCAAGTGAAGTGGGTACTTTTTTGGGTTTTTTTCACTTTTAAGCCGCGTNATATATATATATATATATATATATATATATATACAAAAATATATATCTTTTCGGCTATTATTTTGAGCGTGGCTATACAGTGTCATTTCCACACTTTTTAATATTTTTCAACGTTTCCTATGTTTCAACATCATTTCAGAGTACATTCCTTATGGATTTTCATAATTAAAGCCCAAGCAAGAAACCCATTGAAATTGACTCTTCAACTGCCTTTTGGCACCTTCTACATATTCTCCAACTAAAGCCAGTTAAGCATTCCCTAGTAGTGGTTCACTCGTATATGACCAAGTGAAACTGGGGACCAACATTAGGCTATCATTTTGTCTAGAATAATCAAATAGACCACATGCTCCTCTCCTTGCTTTGCAACTAGTTAGCCATAGCTTTCACTCATTGGGACACTAAAGGCGGATCTAGAGCCAGTTCTGTGGGTTTAAATCCACTTTTATAACTTGGTAGAGTAGAGGGGTCACTGGTTGAGTAGTCCGCTCATGTGCTCCTTCCAGCTTCAAATCATGGGTCCGTCTCTGATTATACATAACAAAAAAATGAAAATTGTGTATTCTGACAGTACGTGCTTTAAATTCTGAATTAGCTTATGGGTGACACGTGTCAATATCTCATTCGTTGGCGAGGGGACCGACCACAACTTATTGTTACCCGGAATAAGAAGCAGAGGGCCCTTCCTTCTCCCTCTTATCAGCTCCGGCCGGCCTCCTTTCTGTTACCTGTCATTGGTGGTGGATCATAGCTTTGTTATGGTTGTCTCATAGTTGAAACCTTAACAGCAAACATCAATCGGATATCAGTTGAAACATGTGCTTCTGTTAGAGGACATGGTCCCTATTCTCCACTTATACTTAATCAAAAGCTTTCTTACTTTATTTTATAGACAGTTTAATTATCTTGTATTTAGTACTATTAGTTGGTCCTCAGCTAGAGGAGCATCATTGGCAATTGTGTCTCATTGTCAATGCAGTATAGATACTAGATGAAGAAAAGAGAAAAGGACATAAAAATGCCTTTATTTGATAGTAACAATCTAGTTATTATTAACAAGTTGCTATTTCTATTGTTGACCTTGAATATGAATGTGGTGAAAGGAATAAGTAAATTCACATAGTCAAAGAAGAAAGTACAGAGATGACATGTTACCAATTGATCAACATGATGTTATGCCACCAAGAATGCAAGGACAAACCTGTTTACAATATTTTATGTTTGCCTCAAGTACTTGAGAATAGTCTTGGAGCAACGGTAAAGTTGTCTGTATGTAATTTACAAGTCACGGGTTCGAGACGTGGTGAAATTAAATTCGAGCCGTGATGGAATGATTCTTGCATTAGGGTAGGTTGTCTACATCACACACCTTTAGGGTGCGGCCCTTCTCCAAACCCTGCGTGAAAATTGGATACTTCACACACCGGACTGCCCTCGAGTAATTATCTAAGATTCAATCAGGGTAAATAATGGACCCTTTTTCAACAATTGGAGGATCAATTTTCAGGTTGTTGGTGTTCTTTAAAATCAAGTTGGAAAACAATCCTTATGATAAACTGAAGAAAATTTACATAAAGAAAAAGAAACAGAGGAGCAAAAAGAAAAGCTTGGTAAGTTGACATTAAAAGGGAAGTCCATATGCATCTTAGTAGTTACAGCTTACAGTAAAATAAGGACATTTCCATGTGAAGGGAGAATAGGACATATGCTGCGGTCTGTCATTTCTAGATTGATTTACAAAAAAAAGTATCCCCCACACAACAAAAATTAAGAATTTCATTCAAGTTAGCTTCTTCCAGTTTGATATTTTCAATTCCTAATGCACACTTCTATGCTGCAATTCCATTCTTTTTTCACCGCGCCATTTCTTCTGCTTGCGGATAGCCAAGCTGCTCCATCTCCCAGCTCAATTTGGAAGCAACTTGTTCGTGGCAAGGAACATATTCCTGCAATTGCAAGATATATGCAGTTTATTAAGTACGGACTGTCATATCGACCAATGCTAGTATTATATAATACGAACGACATCATACCAACATATTTCTCCATTTTAACCAGAAGAGATCAATGTTTCTTGGCTGTTAATGAAGCTTAGAGAAACATAACAAGTCCATTTTTAAGGTTATTCGCGTAACGACATGCATAAGATATTACCTCCAGTTTCTTGACCAGCTCCTTCGCTGTTGGTGCAGATACAATGATCTCGCGAGCATTGGGACTAATGAACCCTTCCTCCACAGCTTTGTCAATAAATGACAATAATGAATTGTAATATCCATCCACATTCAGCAATCCTACCTGCAAAATTACATTGCATATGGCTTTTAATTCTGAATTTGTCGTGCTAGATTGCATAGGTACAAAATAACAGAAATGATAAAAGAAATTGCATGCATCAATATATACCGGCTTATCGTGGATGCCAAGTTGTGCCCATGTAATCACTTCAAGTAGCTCCTCAAGTGTGCCATAACCACCTGGATGCAATGGAGTATTTCATTATCCTAAAATTTCATAAGTGCCAATGGGATATGCAACGGTATTCAAAATCTGTTTTTTAATCAATAACAAGTAATATTTTACCCTATACATAGCTTCACCCCCGGTTTTATTCATTAGTCAAACTAACTGTGCTTTAGATTGTGAAATATTAAGTAAGAAGCCTTTCGGAAAAACTGCAGAAGAATGATACAAGTAATGAATAAAGGTTATAGATAAAAGGGTTAGAGCTATAATTTTAGCTCACATGTGCATTTATTACTCCATGGCAAAAGAATTGACTTATTGTGCTTTGTATACAACAATGCTCTTTTCTGTCTCATACTGCAGTAAATTATGACTTCCTACAACTTTCTCAAACTGACTTTGTTGTCTGAATTTTGGCATTTATTGACCTCATCCTTCAGCAAATAGGATGCATGCTCCTCTGCTAAGATCTTAGGCTATAATGTCTCTGAAAAAAAAATATTTTTTATTTGGTTTTGAAGCTTTGTGAAATGCAGCCACAATAAGTGTATGTCCACTTGAATTTTTGGAGAAATAGAATTCCTTGAATAGAGTGAGCATGATGCCTTCTTAGGTACAGCAGCTAGTTGTCATTTACAATTTTGTGAAAGTGTGACAGTTTTCTCTTTTTTATTTTTCTAAGGGAAGATTTTTGCAGGAGGAAAACTCAGAGGCTATATGCACATTTAAGGAAAAGAATAAAATCACAGAACCCAGTTATCTTTTAAGCAGTGAAACAGCTCTTAATTTTCAGTGCAAGATGTTGATAGGTCAACACACTAGGGTTTGAACTGTAGGTTTCTAATCATGAGTCTTGGGGTTTGTGAGACTTCAAAGAACCAAACTGATTATTTTCAAGATTTCACATTTTTCTGTAATAGGTGTCAACTAGGTCTACTACTTAACTAGGATTTTATTTATTAAGCTTGTCCTCTGCCTTTTTGGATAGAACATCCCTCATTTGCCAAGAAGAGACAATTCCCCAAACCAAGAGCAATTAACTTGTTTTGGTACTTTTATACAAGAGGAAAGTATATCAAGTCCATATGAAATCTTGAAACAATCTCTAAATGCTACTCATTTAGTACTTTTCGCTTTTCGAGATCCAAACTGTGTATATTTTGATCTAACATTTTGAAATATATTTTTTTGTCATATTGACACGAGAAGAATTACAACTTATAGTACTTCTCGTATAGGTTACCATCTAAATTTTAACTTTAAAATGTTGAATTAATCAAAATCTAATTTAACTTCAAAGATTAGTCAAATTAACTCTCGAAAAACGAAAAGGTTCACATAAACGGCAACAGAGAGTATCATTAATGCACATAGTAGATGTTACTTCTCTTAAAAGTTATTGAGGAAATGTAAAGGAATACTAAGCTTAGAATATGACAATCTGAACTCTGAAAAGAATAAAACAGAGAAGAGAGATGGTGAATCTATGCCCAAATTAGCAAAACTAAAAGCACCTGATATCCTTTTTTTTTATTGGCAAGAGTGAAAATTGGAGTTGCAGTTCTTATACCAACCTGGTAAGGCAATAAAAGCATCAGAATGCCTAGCCATTTCTGCTTTCCTTTGATGCATATCTGCAACTGCCTTCACTTCTCCTACTGTTTCACCAGTTAACTGTTGAAAGGATAATAAAATATTGATTTTTTTGAAATATGTGCTTCTTGGGAGAAATGAAGGAAAAAAAGGGTGTGTGGTGGGGGTTAAAGGGTCAGAGTAAAACAAGTTTCTGGTTGTAGTGTAGTGCATTAATGCAGTGAAAGCAATGATGAGTTTTTCAGAAAATGGTGAAGTTAAATCCCAAAAATCTTGATTTTGAAGATGAAAGTTATCACCAACATATACACTACTAAATAAACATATATACATGTACATGTACCGGTACCACAAACAGCCCGGTGCCCTAAACACCAGATATGCGCGGGAAAGATCCGAACTACAAGGGTCTATTGTATACATTCTTACCCTATATTTTTGCAAGAGGCTATTTCTACGGTTCGAACATGTGACCTCTTGATCACATGATAAAAACTTTACCAATTACGTTAAGTTTCCCTTCCAATGCCACAAACAGCCAAGAAAGAAAACTACAAGAGCTCTAACAGCAGGAAACAGAGTGAATAAAGCATACTACTCAGAAAAAGGAAAAATCAGAGAAAACATTAGCAACCTAAGAATGCATAAAACTAGTGAAAAGCCAGCTGCCAAAGTACTATGGGATATGGATAAGGCTAATAAGGACCAAGAAAGAAGCAGAGTTCTTCAAAATTACAAGGAAAAGGAAAGCACAGACAATGAAATATTTATGACTATTATTTCTTTTGTACATCAAAACAGACAGAAACCATTGTAAATATTTTAAAGAGTAAAGTACTCCTAACTGCTAAATAACTCAAAGTCTCAACTCATAAACCATGGAATATACTATTGAGTTTTTCTTTAATAATATAATAATCAAGAAAGGCCTAAGACTTTTCAAGATTACAGCAGACAAACCTCTCTAGGCATGAGTGTCTTGGGAATAACTCTGCAGGTAGACAATAACATGACAAAAAATTAGTAGTTTAATTGGAGAAGAAATCAAGAACACTAAACATAATAGTAGTAATAATTAAGAAGTTTTACTCAATTGCTCATGTTTAAAAAATACTACTACTAATTAGTTAAATAAATACTTTATCTCATTCTCACCCAATAACATGCCTACCACCATCATGAACTGCTTGTGAAACCAAACCCATTAGGCCTATGCTGCCTCCACCATAGACCAAATCAATGTTTCTTGAGACCTTCAATAAGAAGCAAACTCAGATCAGTCCAAGTACTTATTAACCAAAACAACATAAAAGAAAAAAAGGTGGATTTTGGGTCTACAACATCTAATCAGTCTTAAAAACTTTAAGCACATTCACATTTTGTAAAGATGAAAATGGATAACACCATACCCCAAAACCAAATCTAGTTTGCATATACGAAGAAGATGATGAGGCATAAATTGAAGATATTCCACAATGAGAGAATACAAAGGAAAGTAAGCAGAGAACATTGTTTATTTGAAAAAGGAAAGTAACTTCAAGAAAAGAGAACCTAGACATGGATAGTATGGGTAACACACCTAAATGACCAGAAACACATACACACACACAGAAACATGACCACAAAACACACACACACACAGAGCGAGAGAATAGAGGGTTGTTGTTTGACAGGGATATAGAAACATTGCATGCAAGCTTTTCACCCTCAAAGAAACATCACATTTGCATGAAAAAGTTTTACCCAAAAACAGAGAATCAACCTAAAATTCCAATCAACATGTATATACATTCCTTTAAAACTTGCATTAACTTTAAAAAAGACCCCATTTTACCATTTTACATTAGCTTTGCAAAAACACCCAAATGAGGAAAAAGTCAGAAAACAACACATTCTCAGTCCAAGAAGACATTAATAACTGTACCAATTCATTGCCAAGCTCAATGGCAGCATCTTGATAACTACTCTTCTTGCCTTGACTACTCCCACAAAACACACAAATCCTCTTGAATTTTGATACTACCATCACATCACTGATCATCTCCCTCTCCATTTCTTTAAAGTTTTATCCTTTCTATTAACTCTGTTTCCTACAAAAAGACCCCCTTTTTGTTTTTGCCTAAGCCAAATTCAAAGAAACAAACTTTTAGCTGTGTTACACCCTTTTGCAAATGAACTCTCAATATATATTTATAGAGGCAGAAAAACACAGACTATAGGCATTTTTTTTTCTTCACATATACGTGTGTGCCAAAAAAGAATAATACCTATAGACCCTTTTAGCTTGACCACTCAATAGTGTCCAATTGCTTCACTACCATTTACATATGGGGCTATGGCACGTGACTAACACTTAGCACGCTTATTGTTTGTGCTCTCTCTAGCACGTGTGGACCACCTTATTTCTTTTAAGTTTTTTTTTTCATTAATTAGTTGGTCTTCTAATAATAAAATAAGCTCTTCAGAAAGAAAAAAAAATGTGTTAAGGTAAGATTCCTCCAAATTTTATGGAAAATGGGACTATAATAGATATATTTTTTTTGGAAAATTCATAGGAAAATCTGTGGTCGTTATCCTTCTGGTGCGCATTGAATAACCTACTCACTGTGCAATAGCTCGCAAATTATACACGGGATGTGCTCTGACTGAGAAGGCTGCTAGTGAGGTATATTAATCGGGGTGCTCTCTCTAGCAGGTGTGGACCTCCTTATTTTTTTTAAGTTTTGTGTTTTCATTAATTAGTTGGTCATCTAATTATAAAATAAGCTCTTCAAAAAGTAGAAAAATTAAGGTACTTTTTTCTCCCAATTTTATGGGAACTGCGACTATATATGATAGGTATATCAATCTATTTTTAAATTGTATATTATCATCAATGATTTAGGCCTTTACATATTTCATTATTTCATCCTTTTTATTAGGTATATCTATCATGACTAAAGTTAAATTTCTAATAATATTCAGATGTAAGCGAAGCTTTTATTGAGCCAGGGGTCTACCAAAAATAACCTCTTTATCTCCACAAAGTAGGATTGAGATCCGTGTACATATTAATTTCCGCATACCCCATGTGTGAGTATACACTGGGTATGTTGTTATTATTGTATTCAAATGTAAGCGAACTAGGAATGGATATAAATATTACTATAGTTTCGAAGGGAGTTTTGCGCCACGGTAAGACTTGGTGTCGTGTGAACAGTTTCAAGTCGTGAAAATAATTTTTAAGAAAAAATATAAGGTAAAACTGTATATCATAGATTCAATGTAGTCCAATTTTTTCTCGGACTAGTGAACAACAGGAGTTTATTGTATCGAACTGCCCTTTATTATTAGAGTATATAAGTGAAATGTCAAGTTTTCCTTGGGTATAAACTTTTTGTAGTAGAAAAACAATCACAATTAACTAGCTAGAAAAGGTAACATTTGCATGTTACTCTATTTAACAATTTTAAAAATGAAAAAGTTAAATTTGAACCAAAAGGAACAGCAAGACGAAACAACCTAACATGTCAAGGCAGAGTCAATATATAGAAAAAGAAATGAAACTAATATACCAAGTAGTAGTAATTTCTAGAATTATTGGTAAGAAAGCAACTGTTTGGTACTTGGTGTTTTCTTACTTCCCTTTTAGTTAGGGCCAAAGGGTCCATACCCTTCTTTCCTCACCCATGACGTTCAATCTACAGCAACTTTTTTCAAAAGTTTTTTTTTTTTTTTTTTATAGTGTCCAAGGATGAGTTTAGAAACAATCCTTTTACCTTGAGATAAGATATGCGTATACATTATTCCAAAGACGAACACATGATTTGAAAGTGGCATGGCACATGAACGAACTGCTCAACCAGTGCCTTGTTGGTCTTTTGATCGTAAAGGTTCCAAATAAAATATATAATTATTTTCAATATATATACACATATATATTAAGAACTTTTTTCTAGGTTAACGGTGTATGGTGACCCCTCTAATATATACATAAGTCCGCCTCTGCACTATTCTCCACAGACCTCACATTATGAGAATATACTAGGTACGTTGTTGTTATTGGTTTAAGAAGGTGCTTATTTGAAGTTTCTTTTTACTATTATATGACACATTCGGAGGATGTTTTTACAAATAAGTTTTGGGTAATTTTCTTAGCAAAGGCAGTAAAAAGAAGAAGAAAGTGGAAAAGTAGGGAAAATCGATGGGATTATTTTTTCCAAAAATCTGATGATTTCCCTTCTACTGAACATTTGGGGGAGGGAGAGAATAGAAAAAATGTAATCACTCGCTGTTTACACTAATTTAACAATTATATAGAATATGTTTTAGATTTTACATATATATTATTGCCACTTTTCTATTATTATTTTACTCCAGTTATTATTTAACAATAGGATTTGAACTCGTGATATTGTAGGATCAAATTGTGGTCTTTTGATTTCTTTAGAGATAATATCCTTTTATTAATTTAATTTTCTCTTTTTCCACTCATTTTCCTATATTCTTGGAGATTCCATCTTCAAAAATAGAAACAAAAAGAACCTAAATTGAAAGTCAAAAAGATCTAGTAACATAATCATTCCAAGGTCCCAATTTCCCTCCTTTTTTCTTTATTTTGGATTTCCAGTCTCCAACTTCATTTCGAAAAGAGTTAAAATGACCCTAAGAATATTCCATATGAAGTCAAACATTGTCTATATCTTAGAGAATACTCAAGTAATACATCATAAGGAATTATAAGGATTAGAGTAACAGTTTAGCGATTGCAACTCGTCTTGCATTATTTAAGCGTTCGAGCCGTGTAAATAGCCATTAATTCTTGCATTAGGGTAGGTTGCCTACATTATACCCCTTAAGATACGATTCTTACCCCGATTCTGCGTGAATACGAGATGTCTTGTGCACCAGACTGCCCATTTTTTTAGAGTTATAGTTTAGCGATTGCAACTCGTCGCATTATTTGAGCGTAAAGTTTCAATTTTACATGAGCCCTTTCATCTTTTATCTTCCTCTTAATTACTCGTTATTAATGAACATATCCCACTCCGCAAGAAGAAAAAAAAGGGAATTAAAGAACCTGTCAATAAAGAAGAATTTAAAAAAAAGGCTAGTCTGCTGTATTACGTTTCCGCTATGCGTGGGTTCGAAGAACGCCGGTCCACGAGGGTGTAAAAAAGGATGCTGAAGCAGAAAATCACTTATAAAATAAACAACAGGAACGCCATAAGCTAGCATAACAGATAGAATATTCTACCTTTCTGGAAAAAACAGTACTATATGTAAACTTTTCTTAATCTGGTTTTCTTTGCCTTTTCTCCCTGCAAACATTGAAAAGATTAGTACCTTTACAACTGCAAAAAGGTTATAAATGGACATTGCAAAACAAATGTTTTCTCCTTTTGTTTTCTCTACTAAAAACAATAGTAGTAATAAACTAGTAGTAGCATGCTTACTACAATTTACGAGTAATTACAATAAATAAATTAACAACACTACATTTTATGGGCAAATACATGGGAAAACTTCAGAAGTTCAGATGGAGTACTTATGGAGCACTGTGCAAATTAATTAAAATAATTGAATAAACAAAACAGGTGGGTATTGGGTATATCAGGCTTGTACCCTCATTCACCTGACACAATTGCTCTATTCATAGGAAACATTTCATTCTTATTTCATAACTCCATTCCCTTCTCCCATGTCATTTGGCTTACCATCTTGTCCCCAACCCATTCCCTAACTTACTTCATTGCCTTCAACGAATCGAGAATCTAGAGTCATTGGTTCAGAATAGGCATGGCTACAGGGCGGGTCGAAAATGTATAATGCAAAAACGAATAAATTATTCGACCCGACCCACATTTTATACGGATAGAAAATGAATTAACTGACGGATAATATGGATATCCATATTATCTATGGCTTCTTGAATATGATTACTTTGGGGAGAATTCCTAGTTTACCAAATTTGAAGAACCCTCAATTTGAGTTTTTACAAATATAAAAGTAAACCCATAAGTTATCAATTTTCTAAGTCAATAATATTTATATTTGACCCATTTTTAAAAAGTTCATTATCCAACTCATTTTTAATGATAATATGAATGAATAACTATTTTTTTTTATCTATTTTGCCATCACTAGTTCAAAATGAGTGTGTATATTACACTTTTTTTTGACGTATGTATACATTATTCCAGGGAAAAGAAATGAGTTCACTTGATCATCCCTATAGACGAATAGAGAATCTAGAGTTATTGGTTGGGAATGAGTGTTATTATGGTACATATATTAAGCTTTTTTCATATACATATACATTGTTCGAATAAGAAGAAATGAGTTCCGTTGACCCTAGAGACGAATCAGAATTTGAAATTATTGCTTCAAAAAGAGTATTAAAAAAAAATCACTTATGTGTACATTGTTTGAGCGAAAAGAAATGAGTTCAATTGACCCATAGAACCCGCACTACATTTGCCACTACTTATGTGACTTCCAAACTTGTTATAGTTATCCTTACACATGCTTATTTAGACCGTCAAATTTTCAGATTATACTATACTACTATTTAACTATTACGATAGAGGAATGAGGATTCACCCCCCCCCCCCCAAGCAATAGCTGAATTATTTAATCCTAGGGAACATGTTTTAATTTCTTAATTTGTTATGGGCTTTATATATAGCATACTAATGAAAAAAAAAACAAATTTTAGTTAGTTCTGTTGGTGCCAGGATTGCAGTAACAGAGAGTAACTTAGACCATGCCTGTTAAACAAAGATAGTGTCTTAAAAAACATCGTCAATCCCTAGGTTAGCCTATATATGTGGTTTTGTTTTTCTTTCTCATCTCTGTATTCTCTGTCTGACTACTTACAGGCTACAGCCCACTCTTTTGAAACCGCAAAAGTATAGAGATTATCAAATTATAATTACTGCTATATTTAGTGGAGAGTTTTTTTGTGGATATACACACATAAAATATGAGTGCATGCTTGCACGCGGGGTATATAATTAGCATGTTTTTGTGTGTTGTTTTACACTCAAGTGTGTGTATTATGGTAGGCTGCGTTTGTATTGTAATTGCTGCAGAATACATATATTGGAGCCTTCAAAGACAGATGGGATACAGCCTATAGTGAACGGTAGGTTTGCTTTCCAAAAAAACTTATTTGTACTCTATGTTTGTATCAAATCATACTAATTTATTATAACTAAGCGATAAATTAAACTAATATACATATCAATTAATTATGATTAAGTGAGAAAGGTTC